AACAACGATTCCCTCAAATAACACTGTCCTGGAGGAACCCAACCAGGTCCAAACCGTCCTAAAGCTTCACAAAACGACCGAAAAGAATCACTCTCAATGGCATTAAAAGGAATACCAGACTGATATATCCATCTAGCACACCATTGATGCACAACACGCATTCTCTCCTCCAACGCGACACCATTAGCGTTCTCTCGTCTTGTTTCACCACCTAACGTCCTCGGGAGGAATAGACATTACAAACTTATCCATTGGACCGTCAAACATAGAATCTTTCATATTTACAAGATTTTCCTCCCTATCGTGCCTATCAAACTCCGAGTCATCCGGTTCTATTTTCATCTTCCTTTTCTTGTTCTTTGCTTCCAAGATAGCTTTCATACATTTAGATTGATCTTCTTTCGTAGACATCGGACAGGAGACGACATTTCCCTTACGGTGAGCAATATTTTCCTTAATCCTATACGCACCTCCTCCCATTACTTTCCCACACAGCTTGCATTTAACTCTATCTAGATTATTCGGGTCACACAGAACTCCATATTCCCATCCAACATCACCAGTTCCGTTTAAGCGAAGAACTTCCCGGAGAAGACGAATCCATATCTTCTGTAAAATAATTCTCAGAGAAATCACAAACAAACAAAAATGTTCGACATAATCTAAAGTAACGCACAATTACTAATACACAACACAGCGCCAGAAATAGAATATGATCACAAATTTCAGAACTTGATTTAACGAAGCTGCAATTGAAGCTCTCACCTGCAACAATCGATCGAAATGTAGACCAGACTGAGTTTTTAAACACACACACACAAACAAATGAGGAATAATAAACGAATTAGCGACTCCGGTGAAGACGTACGGTGGAAAGAGGTGACGGGAAAAACGATGAAGACGGCAGTGAACGCCGGAGACGACGGCGAGGAAGATTTCACGACTGGATTTGGGGTTTTTAGGGTTCTCAAAAGGTTTTTTATTCTTAGCAAAAAAAAAAGGAAAAAAAAAGAGGTAAAAACGGTGTCGTTTTGATAAGAACCGGGAAAGTTTTCCGGGGGAACCAAAAAAACATAACGGTTCGGTTATCTAACGGACGGTTTAGTCAAAAAAACGCTAAACCAGTTGATTGGTTCATTCTTATGCTTGGTCGATTCCACAGTCTTTTATTTGGTGGATTTGAGTGTTTGAGGTAGCCAAACAAAGAATTGCAAAAATGTAAGTAATAATTTTGTCAAAAATCCTTAGTAGTGTAAAGGTTTTCTTATCATTCAAGTTGTGTGGTCATAGACCTTATATAGAGATTACATCAACACCTAATTATAGTGTTAAGCCTATGATTACAATGAGCCTTTATATGGCCTAATAC